TTAAAAATAGACGACATAGGTTTTAATGGTGGAATTGAAAACAACTTACATATGCTTTAAATCCCAGGCGGCATCTTCTGTCAAAATTTTAGTCGACATTATTTGTCCAAATTAAAAGCTTTATAAGATTTGAGAAATGTGGGATAAAGAATATTGGGTGCATATAGAAAATGTAAGGTGTATATTAAGAATGTGGGGTGTAAGAGTATTATGGAAAAGTAAGTGGGGTGTATGAAGATAATTTTTCATTGAAAAAGCAAATGTGAGATGTATTAAGTATGTAGGGTTTATTCAACAATTTGTGAGGTGTTAATATAATAAGCCTTAAAAAATGGGCAATTTACCTCTTTCGTTTGCCTTTTCTTGTCTATCTTTTCCAACCATCAGTTGACATGTGTGCTCTAGTAACCAGTGTTCTAAAAAAGGGCCTAGGCAGTGGTGACCCAAGGCGTTTTCTTGCAAATCGGTTGGAAAAATTGGCTGAGCTCTAGGCACTAGGTGGGTTTTTTTTTTTTGGAAAAAAAATCCTATCTACATTACTATATTTCCTTATTTTCCTCCTATTTTGCATTTTATGTGGTTTTAAATTGTGAATTTATTGTACATGTGTCATCCTACAATACTCATCAATATGGTTATATGGCATATATGCTTAATGTGTTTTTTAAATTTGGACTTCTTGGATACTCTTTTTGCATTTTATCATTATTCTATTATCTTATCCATGAATTTCATACAAGTATAATTTTTTGTAAGTGTCAATATGCACTTATTTACAAGATATACAAGAAATTTACCTAAATCTGCCTAGGCTGCCTAGACACTCGTCTAGACCCCCGCCCGACTAGTGCATAGTGTTTTTTAGAACTTTGCTAGAAACAAATTAACCTACATACTTCATACTGTTAAGATGGAAAATTAGAATTTATGATATTCATGCATTAATTATGCAATTTAACTTGTTTGTGGAATAAACATATCAAGTGACGAGTACATAAAGTGAATAAGAAAAGACAAATGAAAAAGGTAGATACATTATTCTGGCACCAAACATCATTTATTGGTGTATTTGTGAAACTATTTTGACAAAAGACACTCGCATCGCATCTTATCAACTTGTCTCATTTTATTAAATAAAAAATCCATAAAACAAATCGAAAAAATTTAAAATATCATATTGCATTCAATACAACGCGTGATGCATGAGTATGATTAAAAAAACAAATCTTGTACATTCATTACTTTCGTGTATCCATTAACGTATCGACCCAGCAAACAATAGAAGCTCAATATAAAAAAGAAAGAAGCTAAGTTATAAACTCTTTTTTTTAATGATCAAATCTTCTTAGAAAACAAAAGAAGTATGATAAAGCCGAGTACAAATTCCGATATAAAAAAATCGCACTTAAAATGTATCGTAACATTTTCTTGTATTATTTCTTATGTATATTTTACTTTTAAAATTCTTTACGCGTTTCGAAAACAAGGACCCCCAAGTATCCGGCCGATACGAATCGTTTCGGGCTTTCGCAGTCGCGGCCTCTTCTCCCAGCAACTTCCTACTGCTGCCCCCACTATTCTTATCAACTTCTTGTTGCTTTTGCTCCAAGCTTTCCGTTCCATTAATTTTTTTTTTTTCAATATTTTTCGAACCTTTTTCGTTTCAAACTGTTCCAACGATCTGCAATACGACTCGCCAAAGCTGCGATTTTGTTTCGAAATTCTCCAACTAAATAAACAAATATGTATTTAGTTTTTGTGGGCATTATATTGCGGTAACTTCCAACTGTTCCTCTGTCCGGAGGCGCTTCGATTGTTGCGGTGGATTTTGTTTTCAATTTATCAGAGTTGAAAACTTATCCGAGAGGTTTGATTTTGGTCAATTGCTGGATTCTTGTTTCCTTTTCATTCGGGGGTTGACTGAACTGCGACTTGTGGTAATTATCTAGAAGTTCCAGTCGGCTTCCATTTGGGTATTTCTATCGGGTTGAATTTGGAGTCCCAGTTGAAAATTCAATGCGATTTTCAATTGGGTCCTTCTGATTCTTTGGAAAGTTGGGGTCTTGGAAGGTTCTCTTTCGAAGAGTTTTCAGCTGGGCTTTTTAGGTTCCATTGATTTCTTGGAAAGTTCCGTTCTTGGAGTTGAGAGGATATAAATTTGAGGTTTTCGGATCGAGTTTTTTTTGTGGGGCTTTTGGGTTTTCTTGATTCATTGCATAGGCTCTTTTTTTTGGGGTTGAAAATGTAAATTTGAGGTTTTCGAATCGATATTTTGGTCCTGCATATACAAGTGAGCTTGAAGGATTTGGTTTTTTCCGGGATTTTAGAGCTTTGAGCAATGAGGAGTGGTTGATCATTTATTTCTGGGTTTTGGGTGCCCTTAATTCCTTGGAAAGCTTCGTTTTTCGGGTTGAAAGACTGTAAATTCGAGGTTTTCGAATAGGAGTTTTGGTCCTGGTGAATTTTCTTGGATTTTAGAGTTTCTGAGATGGGGTTGATGATTTAGTTCTGGGTTTTGATTTGGGTTGTGGGGGATTGATTAGGATGGAGGAAGCTCAAGGCGGCACGAGTTCGTTGCCTCCTTTCCTTTGCAAGACATATGAGATGGTAGATGATGCTTCAATAGATTCAATTGTGTCATGGAGTGCCAGTAATAAGAGCTTCATTGTTTGGAACCCGCCGGAGTTTGCTAGAGATTTGCTGCCAAAGTTCTTCAAGCACAACAATTTCTCTAGCTTCATCAGGCAGCTCAATACCTACGTAAGTCAACCGAGTTTCCAACTTAATTCCGTTTCAGTTTCAGCTTGCTTTCTTTTGCTTCAGTTGTTTGACCTTGGTATATATGCATTTATGGTACGTTTGTAGTTTTGGTTGCTTAATTTGATTTGAATTGTTACATTAGGGTTTTAGAAAAATTGATCCGGAGCAATGGGAATTCGCCAATGACGATTTTATAAGAGGTCAGCCACACCTTATGAAGAACATCCATAGGCGAAAGCCGGTGCACAGCCACTCTTTGCAGAATCTTCAAGTCCAAGGCCAAGGGCAAGGGACTTCATTGTCCGAAGCTGAACGGCAGAGTATGAAGGATGAAATCAAGAGGCTTAAACATGAGAAAGAACGCCTTGCTGTGGAGTTACAGAGGCATGAACAGGAGCGGCATGGATTGGAGTTGCAAATGCAGTTCTTGAAGGACCGTTTGCAACACATGGAAGGGCAGCAGCAAACCATGGCGGCTTTTGTGGCTAGGGTTTTGCAGAAACCGGAGATTGCCTCTAATCCTGTTCCGCAATTGGAAGTCCGTGAGCGAAAGAGAAGGTTGCCAAGAACCAGTTGGCCTTTCGATGATGCTAACAATGGAAATAATCAGATGGTTAGTTCAGAAGCTGTTATTAGAGAAAACGGGGGTTTGGAAAAGTTGGAGCAGTTGGAGTCATTCCTAACATTTTGGGAAGATACCATTCATGATGTTGGTCACAATAACATTCCACTTGTGGATGAATCTACAAGTGGTAACGAAAGCACAGCCGTATCGTCCATACAATTGAATGTTGACATTCAGTCCAAATCCCCTAAAATTGACATGAATTCTGAGCCCGCTGCATTCGTTGCTCCCGAGCCTGCTGCATCGCAATCCTCTATAGAAAAAACAGCTGGAATTGCTGCTTCTGCACCCACCACCACCTTGATACAACAACCGTCTAACGAAAAACCAGCTGGAACCAGCACTTCTGCACCCACCGGGGTCAATGACGGATTTTGGGAACAGTTCTTGACAGAGAATCCTGGCACGTCAGAAGCACAGAAAGTTCCGTTGGAAGGAAAGGATTCCGATGGTAGAAGTAATGACAGCAAACCTGGTGATCATGGCAGGTTGTGGTGCAATATGAGGAATGTAAATAACCTTACAGAACAGATGGGGCATCTCACTCCAGTAGAGAAAACCTGATACTAGTTACTTTATTCTGGTATAAATTTAGGTATGAATATTTTGTTCTGGCATTCATAGATATTCTGTGTTTGTGTTAATTTTCTTCTTGGTCATCTTTATATTTTGATTACTGTTCTTATACCTATAAACTAAATAATATCACTTAATATTTTTATGTCCCAATTTACGTGCTTTTGATCTCATTCTCCTTATGATGACCTTGTATGTTAATCAACAATTCATAGCCTTGCATCCACAGTAACTTTTGTTATCAGACATGGATTTTCAGATTAAAAACATAGCATTTTGATGTATTTGTTTGATTGAGTGTGTTTCTTTGCAGTATGCAACCCCTTTGCTAGTACACTTTCACTATTAAAACCCGCCCTCCATCTACGTCCGTCTTTTCTCCTAACATTCTTCAGTTGACTGATTATCATCCCCCATATGTACTAAATATCATCCCAGTTGTGTTTTGCAAATCCAGAACTGCATCTAAGATTCGCCATGTACTGTGACTGCACTCGCTTATGGTTGTGCTAATGAATCTGTTGACCACTTGCATCTGGTGTTTGGTTGATACTTGATAGTTGAACGAAGGTCTTCAGCTCGAGTAATTGCTTTTTTTTAGAATTTAAATTCATTGTTGAGGAGATCTGCATGTGAGATTAATATGGTGTTGTGGTATGGCAGCACCGAGACTTAGGTCCTTAATTTGGCAAAGCATCACGCGACTAAAAAAAAGGTCGTACCCAGTGCACAAGGCTCCCGCTTTACGCAGGGTCTGGGAGAGGTGAATGTCGGCTAGCCTTACCCCCATTTATGGAGAGGCTGCTCCCAAGTCTCGAACCCGAGACCTACCGCTCATGGACGAAGGCACTTGCCATCGCACCAAGTGCGACCTCTGGCAAAGCATCACGCGACTATTTGTGGAAAATTATATAATTCTGAACTCATATGAAATGACTGTTTGCAGCCTTATTATGCATCTCCTATTTTGACTAAGTTCTCTGTGGTTGTAGGTTCCTCTCGATAAGTAGCGTTTTTAACTTTGGTTTGAAGAACCGTATGAAATATTTACAGGGTTTATAGATTGACCACCATAAACTTCCCCACATTTGTGCATCTTACACACATTGCAATTCTACATTTGCATTGCTTAGTGAACTTTCACAAATTTTGAAGCATGAAGAGCCAAACTAGATGTGCAGACTGCAGAGAAATAGAAAAGTAGTAATGTTATCTATTTTACAATTTGGCTGCAAGTTTTTCTATCGTTGTGCATTCTGTAGTTCAGTACCGAAACAGGTCTGATTCAAGTCAAACCATACCTGCCGGAACACCTTGATAATGAGATCATGGTATTCGTCGGAATTCAAGGTCAGGTAACAAGCCAAGAGCTCTTCCAGATCCTCCGGCTGGGTTATCTTTTTCTCCACAACCATCTCAACCATGGAGTCTCGGAAGTCCTTCTGTGGGTCGAATGAGCACTTCACCACTGCAAAACTGTTCAACCCTGTTCGTACCTGCTGCACCGCTCTCTCCTCAGCCTCCTTTTTTGTCTTCAGTTTGGCTTTCGTCATGTCTTCGAGAGCATTCACTTTGCAGATTTCGACCCTTGAAGCTGTCCGCGGAGAACAAATTCTGACTTTGCAACTCCTCCTCGTTCTTCTCCTCTGCAGTTCCCTGCTGATGTAGAGTGACTTCCTGTGTTTATCGATCTTCGACTTCACCTCTTGTGTCTTCCTTTCTTTCAGTTTTTGCCAATCTGAAACCAGTTCTTCTTCGTCTTCAGTCTCCAAGTTCAAAGATTCTTCCTCAATTGTTTCCAGACCGGAACTTCTCGAATTCCACAAGGATAAATCCTGATGTTTTCTTGCTGCTAACAGTTCTAGTACATCATTTCGCACTGAACCCGTTGATATCTCTTCTTCTTTCCTATGCACTTCTCTTTCCAATTCCACCCGCTTCTTTCCGAAAACTTCTCCGTTTTCCTTCCTCATTCTCCAGTCTCTGTCATTCCGAGTTTTATGCATGCCCTTCAACTTCTGAGACCCTTCTCTTCCCTCCACCTTTCTACCGCTCTTTTGAAACCCTCCACAAATGGATTTCTGAACGTCAAACTCATCGTCCGAATCGTACCGAACCGACCTCAAAACCCCCCTGTCGTTCTTCCCTTGAGCACTATCTTCCCCAAAAGACAGCCTCCAAAACGCATCGTCCTCGTCATCATCTACGCCATAGAACCTTCCACCCCCATGACTACCACACCTTGGCAAATCTAAAGGCGGAGAATTCTGCTTCCCTTTCCGGTTTCCCTCACCGGGTTTTGGTTCCGAGCTCTCACTCTTGTGCTTGAACTTGGAAAGCCATGAACTTGGAAAGACATGAGAGATCAAAGAAGCCTTTGAGGCAGAAGAAGAAGAAGAAGTTGAAGAAGTAGGTAGATGCTTTTTCTTTTTGCTACCCCATTTCATGATTAAATTCCACTGAAGTTCTGCAATCCAAAAGGGAATTTGGATGGTTCGGAGTTGCAGAGAAGGAAGACTGATGAAGTTGTAGGTTTGAAGGAGCTAAAGGATGAGGAAGGACGGTTAATAGGAACGTGGGTGTGGGTAGTGTATTACTGGTTTTGTTTTTCAAAAGAAAGCCCCGCCCTAAATCTTGTGACCACTCACCCACTTTTTCCCTACTTTTGTGCCTTCTTATTGAAACAATAAACAGCTATGTGTGTGTCTGCCGGGTGCATTTTTGTTCACCGCACTTAAGTAGTAGCAATGGTCACCATCATATATTTATCATCATTGGGTAATTTTAATTTTTAAGATCGTGTCTATCCACCACATATATCTCAAAATTTAAACTTATTTAACTGTAATAAATAAGGTGGTGATAAAAAATATTCGCTGTGTCTGCCCATCATACCATATTAGCATTAGCCCAGCACAAATTCGAGTAGCTCCACATTCATTAATGCATGAAAACTACACCTTGAATTTGATTTGCTACAGAACAAAAATGTCCTACTTCATTTATTACAACTTATTAGAAATTAATTCACTCTTGTAACTCGAAGCAAGTTACGAGCAAAAAATTATATAGGGCAGTCGGATCACGTATACTGTTGAACTACTCTAAATAAATAGAGCGTTCCTTGTATTTTGTTGGTCTTACACGACTCCTAAACCTTACAATGTGTGAGAGTTGTCATAGTCAGACAAACGTTTCTCTTTTGGTCGACTATGTAGTGTAAACAAGGATATTATGAGTAGGGGTGTAGCTCACTTTGATGACGGAGCTAAACAACGATATTATGAGTGCAGGTGAAGCTTACTTTGATGACGGAGCATACTTTGATAAGATTCTTAAGTATCACTAGTTATATAATTATCTGTGTATTTCACTTGTCATATGACTAGATAAATGTGTGATTATATTCAACTGACTATAATACAGGCTTTCTCCGTTTATTCGGTAACCTCTCCTTTTTGGTCCTTTGTGCTTTATTGCTTTGTCTTTGGTCCTGAATTTTGTATCTTTCTCTTCCACTTTGGTCAAAAAGATTAGTTGAATGCAAAAAGGGCTCCGAATTGGATTGGACTGGATTGCTCTGAAATTCAGGAGGGTACCAAACATGATAATTGCTGACCCACATCTGGATTGGGCTCCTGAACTGGGTCTTTGCCCAAATTGGATTTGCATATGAATTAGTTTGTACAAAGGTTTAGGATTTTTCTCTGTGCACAGTACATTCATTAAAGGGAACTTTAACGAAAAATTTCCGATACTGTTCATTTTAACGAAAAATCACATTTTTACACTAAAAAAATCTATCCTGATACTATTCACTTTACCCTTTATTTTGTTCTTATCGTTAAAACTCAAAATTTTCAAGCCATTTTATTAGTTTTCCTTTCATTAAAAAGCCAAACAAGACATGTACAAATTTTTAGGTTTTAGGGTTCAGTTGATCTTACAGACGTACAATTGCTAATTCAGAATGCAATACAATAACAGAGAAAATTAAGTTGTACAATAGGTAATTAGGCACGACGGACATTGATGGAACTGTGAAAGTAATCAAGAGTTGATGGAGAGTCGATCGAGTTGGATCTAAGTTGAAGGAGAAGATTGTGGGCAATCAACAACAATTAGGAGAGAAATTTCGGAGGCTTGAGTTGGTCATACAAAAGAGTGATACAAGTAATTTGGAAACTTAAAAGTTGCAATTATGTGTTTTCTAGTCAATTAATTTTGTTTAAATTTTTAATTATGTGTTGTAAGAGGCTTGTGTACGAAGAAAGGTATGTGATCTAGGTTTCTGGTTGGGTGGCTCACAAGTTATAGTCCCATCCCATATGTGGCCCAATGATTATCTGACCCTCCTAACCGGATGGTGTTCTTCCTCCACCTCTCAAAATCTTGCTCATCAAGTAACTTGTATTACTTATATTTGCACCAACATCTGATAGCTAAAGGTTAAAGCTGGTAAAACGTATAGATTTCCCCATCTTAAACTGGTCCAATCCAAGGTTGTCCTACTTGTTTCCAGAGATGAATCAATATATAACGGGGACGCCAATGTGACAATATTTTAAATCAATCACGTTACGCTATGTAAGAAAATTCAAACTCATGGCGACACATAATAAATTTGAAACACTGCCACCTTAACATCTTGGTTGCGTGTAAGTCTCACGTTTGACGTGAAAAAATAAAACCCCGAACATTTATTTGTCTGTTGTTTCAAAACAACAACACACAGTGTATGAAGTTGGTCCCTTCTCTTGACTAATTTATAACCAGCCTTAAAAAGGATGAGTGGAAATGGGCTTGAACATTACTTGGTCCTAAGTTAGTAGTTAGCTCCAAATTTTAGTTAAATGAAATTTAAGAGGGTAGTTAGTTAGTTCAAATAAATTAGTAGAAGAGTTACATCCTAAAAACTTTCCAAAGAAAATGAGGAGACTGGATTTGTTTGTTTGTGTCGGTTGGGAAAGTAAGTTTTCAGGTATGAAAGAGAATGTGCACCAAACTAGTCACTACTGACGATAATCTAACAAAGAAAAACTCTGCCTTTTCTTAATTAACAAAATTGATCATGTGGCAGTCTGGCAGATGGATACATCTCGTTTTGCCAAACAACATTTTGCCTAGGACTTTCTTATTATGGTGGTTTTTAAATCGGGTAAAATCAGCGTAGAGTCGGATGAGACGAAAAACAAAAAAATTCATGATTTTATAAGAACTTTTTTCACGAATGATGTGTTTTGGTATAAATTTTCGTGGGTATGGTGTATGAGGACAGAGGACAGGGTAGGCTGCAGTAGTAGTATGAATGCATGATTAATTGTCTTTGATGTGTAGTTCTACTCGCATAATTCTCTAGTCCTTGTTTATACCAAAATTTCTTTTTTTATTTTTTAAAAATGGTCTGAAAGCCCCTACATAATTTTTTTCCGCTAGCATTACTCTATTTTTTTTTATCCCGTATAAGTAATGCTAGGGAATTCCATATAAATTTTAAAATTTAAGCCCCTACATATTGAATCCCGTATGAGTAATGATGGGAGATCATCTATTTAAACCAAATTTTATAAAGCATAGGATATGGTTGTTGACGATTGAATCATTACTTAGCGTTAATTAACATGCTTATTTCCTACTGACGACACATCACATAATTTACAAATTTGATTTGACAAACTAGTCTCCCAGCATTATCCAATCTGTATTATCAACGTGACACAGATGGAGGTGGATTGTCTGCCCTCCCATTTCCATACTCTTCCTATCCCCTCCTGTTTGTATGGTCACGGTTAAGCCACGTCAACATTTTATATTGATTTTTTTATAAAAATAATAAAACAAAAAATAATAGGAATATAAAACGTTGACGTGGTTTAACTATGACCACACAAAACAAGAGGGGATGAGAAGAGTATGGAAATGAGAGGGCACACAATCCACCTCTGACACAGATGATATAAAAGTAAGGCTTTTTATGAGAATGAGTGCCGCACAGTACTACTAAACCTCCTAAAGTTTTTAGTTATCAGCTTAACTAGACAAAGCATTTATTAACAAGAATGAGTATGATCCATGCAAACTGCAAATCTAAAATCTTGATCACAAAGTAATTCCCTCTAATCACACTAAAAACTCTCCAAATCATCCAATTTCATCAACCCTTTAGTAGTAGCTTTTTGGTATATAAAATGTACAGCAAATAAACATTCATAGCTCAATTTTTATCAAATGGCTCACAGAAAAATCCCATTTTGTTTTCTTCTTCTTCTTGTTCTGGTTTTCTGTGAAGGGTTTTTGTCCGTGGCGGCGAAGAATGAGTATGTATCGGCGGTGGGCGATTCAGGAATGAGACGGGACAATCTCCGGTTGGCGATCGAGTCGTGGAATCAGTGCAATGAGGTTGGAGAAGAACCTCGAACTGGCAGCCCAAGAGCTGCTGATTGCTTTGACATATACAGAGCTTCTCCACAGCCAGAAGGTATGTTTAACACTCTTCATATTTATTTATTTTAATAAATAGAAGATTATGCGAGATTAGCTCCTCAGCGAAGGTCACAGGATGCAAGCATCCACCCTCGATCCTGAATGGGGTGAGAAGTACAATACCACCAATGAAAATGCTGATTTTCTCAGCATGAATTATTCTTAAAATTTGTTTCTTTTGTATGAATTTTTATATGTGGCAGGGGAATCATGCTCTTGCAACAAGATGCCGTACGCATTAGTCCACAGAGTCACAGAGCGAGACAACAAGTTGAAGATGGGAGAGCCTTTTCTTGGTCTGCAGCAAAAGGCTCAGTTCAACGTAGATCTTTACGCGGTGGATAAGGAGCTTTATTTGGGATCTAAATGCCAAGTTGAAGACACCCCAAATCCATGGCAGTTTTGGATGATCATGCTCAAGAGCGGCAACATGGACACTTACGCAGCCAAATGCCCCAAAAATGGTCACAAAGTTGGACCCTTTAAACCCGAAGGAAGCGGTTTTCCTTGCTTCGGACATGGATGCATGAACCAGCCTTCTATTTATCATGACTACACCAATTTGAAGGTGCCTAATTTGACTCTAAAGGGAAGGTTTTACGGGTCGTGGGATAAGGATGCAGATTTGAGCCAAGGGATGGTTGGAAACATTTCTTACCATTCTGTCACTTGGGAAAAGAAACTTGGAGAGGGGAGTTGGGTTTTCCACCATGTCTTGAGGACTTCAGCAAAGTATCCTTGGCTGATGCTTTACTTCAGATCGGACGCCACCCGTGGACTTTCCGGTGGATACCATTACCCTACAAGAGGGATGTCCAAAATTGTGAGTAACCCTTTTCATATTTCTTGAGCTCTACCTAAGAAAACGTTTCTACTAGTCAATCTTTGTGGCATCCTTAAGAAAAGCATACTTTTTTCCTTCCGAAAGCTTTTTCTTGCAAGCAAAACATTTCTTGGGGATGAAGATACCTATCTCACTCCACAATCCACATTTTCGATTGCAATGCAGATTCCGGAATCGCCAAATTTTAAAGTGAGGTTCGATTTAAATGTGATCAAAGGTGGGGGTCCTAGCAGTCAATTTTATCTCATGGACATTGGGAGCTGTTGGAAGAACAGTGGGAAGCCTTGTGATGGCGATGTGACTTCAGATGTTACTAGATACAGTGAAATGATCATAAACCCTAACATAACTTCATGGTGCCAACCAAACAACCTCA